GCCATGTAAATGCTTGCAATGAGCGATACATTTCAATTGTGTGTTCCTATTCAGTGGTTCAGGCGCCGCCCACAGTGTTAGCTCTCACGCGGAAAGCCTTGTCAGGCGCCGGCCCATTAGCTCGTACATTCTCCTTCGCACAATTTTCAATCACCTTTTACTATTGCTTCTCCGATGTCTCAAGTAAAAACACTGGTCGCCCATTTTTTTGTTAAGTGAAAAGGTTCACAATTTCGAAAATATGGCACGGGGTTGAAAAAAGAATGAATTTATAAAAAGCTCATGAATTTGATTTTTAAAGAAATTTTAGAAAGTGTTCATGAATTTGAAAATGTCAATGAATTGTAAAAATCTTCATGACTTTGAAGAAATCCACAGATATGAACAAAACACGAAATTTGGAAAACAATCCAAATGAAAAAATGAAAAAGATCAAACTAAAACTTGTCAAAAACATTGAGAGAAAAACCGGCTGAAAACCAAGAAGAAAGCTTGAAACCTTCCAAAAACTAGACTTGGTGGAGAAAACACAGACCAGAAGCTTCCAAAAACCTAGGTTGGTGAGCTTATATTAGCGGGCCCATGTTGCATGGACGCCGCGTATCATTAAGTGCCTAAGAGAGAGAGAGAGAGAGAGAGATCCCTTTGTTCATGATCGCCATGTAAATGCTTGCAATGAGCGATACATTTCAATTGTGTGTTACTATTCAGTGGTTCAGGCGCCGCCCACACTGTTAGCTCTCACGTGGAAAGCCTTGTCAGGCGCCGAACCATTAGCTCGTACATTCTCCTTGGCTCAATTTTCAATCACCTTTTACTATTGCTTCTCCGATGTCTCATGTAAAAAACTGGTCGCCCGTTTTTCTGTTAAGTGAAAAGGTTCACAATTTCAAAAATATGACACGGGGTTGAAAAAAGAATGAATTTATAAATAAGCTCATGAATTTGTTTTTTTATGAAATTTTAGAAAGTGTTCATGAATTTGAAAATGTCAATGAATTGTAAAAATCTTCATAACTTTGAAAAAAAATCCACAGATACGAACAAAACACGAAATTTGGAAAACAATCCTAATGAAAAAAATGAAAAAGATCAAATTAAAACTTGTCAAAAAACATTGAGAGAAAAACCGGCTGGAAACCAAGAAGAAATCTTGAAACCTTCCAAAAACAAGACTTGGTGGAGAAAAACCAGACCAGAAGCTTCCAAAAACCTAGGTTGGGGAGCTTATATTCGCAGGCCCATGTAGCATGGACGCCGCGTATCATTAAGTGCCTAATAGAGAGAGAGAGAGAGAGGGAGAGAGGGAGAGGGAGAGAGAGAGAGAGAGATCACCATGTAAATACTTGCAATGAGCGATACATTTCAATTATGTGTTCCTATTCAGTGGTTCAAGCGCCGCCCACACTGTTAGCTCTCACGCGGAAAGCCTTGTTAGGGGCCGGCCCATTAGCTCGTACATTCTCCTTCGCTCATTTTTCAATCACCTTTTACTATTGCTTCTCCGATGTCTCAAGTAAAAAACTGGTCACCCGTTTTTTTGTTAAGTGAAAAGGTTTACAATTTCAAAAATATGACACGGGGTTGAAAAAAGAATGAATTTACAAAAAGCTCATGAATTTGATTTTTAAGAAATTTTAGAAAGTGTTCATGAATTTGAAAATGTCAGTGAATTGTAAAAATCTTCATGACTTTGAAAAAAAAACACAGATATGAACAAAACACGAAATTTGGAAAACAATCCAAATGAAAAAATGAAAAAAATCAAATTAAAACTTGTCAAAAAACATTGAGAGAAAAACCGGCTGAAAACCAAGAAGAAAGCTTGAAACCTTCCAAAAACTGGACTTGGTGGAGAAAAACAACAGACCAGAAGCTTCCAAAAACCTAGGTTGTGGAGCTTATATTGGCGGGCCTATGTAGCA